CACATCCCTCCATTGTATGAAATAATCACATTATCACAGGCATTTCCTTTTTATGTTGTATCCAAACAAACATTCGTGTGACATCACTGTTAGCCATTAATTTAGTCTATGATATTTAAATAAGTAAACATCCATTCACTTAAAACATCCTCTCATTTAAGACAGACATAGGGCACTTCCATCTCCATCTGCATTTGAACTGCTCAGAAAAGATCTATGTCAGTGAAATTCTGTTTGTGTATTCAAGGTGGAGAGCCTCTTAACTCAAAATAGCAAACACTTCTAGCTCAAGTGTCCCTTAAAGAGAGAGGAAATTATTAACCTGGTTACTGATGAGAAACAAACTAAAATAGTAAATATGTGTAACATTTCTGGGACTCCCAGAGAGACATCCTCAGTATGAACTGGAGAAAGTGGGACACTGGAAAGAATGATTTAACCAGAGTAAACACAGTGATGTTATTTAAAACTTAATAAACTTAAGAACAGAATAACAGGAGAGTCCGGTTTCATCCTGCTGCTTTCCTGCGGTCTGTGGATGATGCTCTTCAGGGCAGCCTGCTTGGCAGAGGGCCCACGGTGCCCACCAGACTCTCAGGGGTAGAGATGCACACAACATCATGGGTTCACATGGGTGGGGATTCATAATTGGCATAAGCAAAAAAAGAAGATTAAAAAAAGCTTTTCATTTATATTGCCAAGTTTCTCTGTTTGTTTTCTAGTGAACTCTGTTGGAGAGTATAAAGATATGGTTTAAGGAGTGTTTGCTGCACAGTCTTATATGAATAATTGGATATTCTATTTCAAATTAGAGGCTGGGACTACAGGACCAACTGCTATGTTTCTAGTTTATGTCTTCTTTGTGGTTAGATGGATTAGAGTTAGGGTTAGGCTGGCTGAGAAAGGAGACACAGCACTTCTGCATTAAAATATTTGGGTTGGCTGAAAAGTTTGCTTGAGTTCTATAAGATGGTACAGAAAACCCTGATGAACCTTTTGGCCAACCCAGTATACTTTTAATTTGGTTCAAGGCAGTGATTTTTAAGGCTTTTGGATTTATAACATACTCTCCTTGTCTTCACTCCCTTGCCTCTCTAAAAAGGGTGAGCAGAAGAATGCAATCTGCCTGCAATGCAGGAACCACAGCAGACACAGGTTTGATCCCTGGGTTGGGAAGATCCCTTGGAGATGGTAATGCACTCCACTATTCTTGCCTGGAGAATCCCAATGGACAGAGGTGCCTGGCAGTCTACAGTCCATAGAGTTGCGAAGAGTCGGACACAACTGAGGCGACTTAGCACCCACGCACTGTTCTGCTTACAGAATGAACAGAACTCTCTTAGCAGGGTTCACTTGGGGGTGGGGTCAGGAGGAGACGTCAATTTTTATCCCTAACCAGCACCTCCTGTTTCCTTCTCTTCTGCCAAGAGAAGTGTGTGTGGTAGAGGATCAAATGGGAACACTGGAGTCCATGCAAGCCTGGGGGGGATGCTTGGGAGAACACCCCAGGCTCCTCTGTGCTGGGGCCACAGGGCAGGAAAGCAGGGTGGTAGGGAGAGCAAGTACGTTACCGAGCTGGGTCCTTTGGACTCTTTAATCAATAGAAACTGATAAGAGATCAGCCAAGAATTTCAGGCAGGGTTCTTTGTGATGCCGCAACAGGGAGTGAAAACAAGTAACAGGTGCCCTTGCTCGCCAGCCCCCGGTGGGGGAGAGCTAGTCCCTTAAATGGGATGAGGGGAAGGAAAGGCTGGTGGGTTGGGCTAGAAGGGTGATGCAGATTGTCTTCCAACCCCCTTGGTCCTGTTGGGTGTAGAGGGCACGCGCAGAATGCTGCTTTTGCTCCCAGCAGCCCAGAAATGGCAGCTGAATTTTGGCCTTTTTGTATCGTGCTGCTCAGGACCTACCCCAACCATGGGTGGATGCAGTTATTTTCAGTCCCTTATGGTTTCTTTGTATTCTGTTGCCCCAGGTGATATTTGTCTGGGTACAAACACTTGCAGTAAAGTGTCCCAGGTCCCAGTCTCACCTGTGAGACAGGTGGCCCTGTCTCACAAGGGCCACCCTGCCTGGAGGTGACCCCGCCTCTGAATGGAGACTCTACGGACTGCAGCTGGGGCTGCCTCACGAACCACCCAGACACAGCGCCCAGCCTGATCCGTGTTGGTTACTGCACCCCCTTCCCAACAGAGCTTGAGGGGTATGTCCTGATAGAAGGAGCTCAGTTTTCAGGTCCATCTCTAGAAAAGAGAGAGAGGAATCAGCTTTCGAAAGGTAAAAGGAAAAGGATTTTTACAGGTAAATCTGGTGAGAAGAGCAGATCCTGGGCAAAATTCTAAAAAGAATTTATTAAAAGAATGACCTTCGAACACCTAAAAAAAGAGTTAAAATTACAGATCATGACTATGTGGTCTTAGTATTTGGCAGCTATTTCCTCCAAAATGAGTGAAATGAAGCTCAGGGAAAATATTTGACCTTGTTAGTTGCCAATGAAAAAATTCCAGTGAAAAATTAAAATTTTAGAAGACTCATGGAATCCTCCACCATGAGCTTGACAATTCCCTATTGGCAGTAACTTCTAATGAGATTAGTGATCATATTAACAAATGTGTTTTTTTTTTTACATTATAATGAATTGGGTCAAAATTTGGCAGATCTGCATAACTCAGTGAACCAATATTTTCCAGAATAGTAGTTAAAGAATCAGACATGGACAAAAGATCCATTCAAAGTGCAGGAGAGATGGAAAAGAGTAAGAGATATGGCTTCAGAGTCCACAGCTAACCTTTAAGAAACTACTACTTGTCAAGGTTTGGTATGTTCTTAAAGTAGAACAGCCATAATTATATGAAAAATCTATTAAAGTATCCCTCCCTTTTCAATTACATAACTGCATGAGGGTAGGTTTTCTTCATTTGTTTAAACCAACATATCACAACATTTTGAATACAGAAGTAGATATGAGAATTCACCTGTCTTCTAGTAAACCAGATGTTAAAAAGATCTGCAAAAATATGGCAGTGTCACTATTCTCACTAAATTTTTGCTATAAAAACACATTTTTCATAAAAATGTTATTTATGTAAACATTTTAATGGATTTACCTTTAAAGTATGAATTAACAAACACCTTGAAAATTTCTCAGGCTTAATTACTAATATCAGTAATGAGTAGATATAACCCACATGAACAAAATTTTTCAGAGTCCTCAATTATTTAGTGTGGAGAGATTCCCAGGACCAAATCAATGCTATAAACAGCACACACCTACACTGTTATCCATGCATTAAGACATACATGTATGAGTGTATATAATGGACGTTTTAGAACATACCTAAAAATAGACACTTGAAAAAGATGAGAAACAGCATCCAAGTGGCTGTAACATCTTTCGGCACTCCCAGGGCCAGACCACCATACCGGATGATTAGCGTGAGACTGGATGCTTATAAGCCTAAAATGTTACTTCAGTAGAAACCCAGGAGTCTGAGAACTTAAAAGGGAGCTTGGCCAAAGCCCTGCTGACAAAGTTGATAGTCCCTCGCCATGTGGTCTCATGGTCACAAAGCCTAGAAGCATCAACTCGATGTCCAGACTGCAGAAGGAGAGCTGATGACCCAGCACAGCAGACAGACTCGGCCGCTTTGGGAAAAGATGCCTGATGAACAAACACAAGCTTAGTGGCAAGGAGTATGCTTGGTTTTAAGGCTCTGAAAGACTGATTTATACCCCTCTTTGATGGAAGTGCACCAGGGACTCTGAGCTTAAGCCCTTCTCAGATACTTTGGCCTTACAAAGGGACTCATTTCAGGAGCTCATGCGCTCGCACAGCCCAGAGGAGCGCCTCCGAAGCCGGCCTGCCTCTGTGTGCAGCCCTCAGTGGACAGACCAGTCCAGGAACAGCTCTGGGGATGGGCCCGTTTTACAACAAGATGGACTGCCCCTGAGCTGAGGGAGCCACTCCTTGTGTCCCAGCAGGGGTCCTGCTGCCCCCTTTCAGGACAGAAGTGCTGCAGTCTCCCAGGGGTCTCTCCATAGAGGGAAGTTCCAAGCCCCCAAGGGTCTGGCCTTGAGCTCATTCTTGCGGAGGCGGAGGCGGCTGCCTGTGGGTGGGGATCCCCCACCTCCTGAGGGCCATGTGCTTTCTGTAGAAGTACTGACAACCTCCCCGCCTGCCTGAGAAGACTCCTCCCACCAGCTTCAGAGCCACTCTGTTCTTTAAAAAGTGATCTCATCTCTGCAGGGGAATGTGTTGATTTTCTGAAGTTTAAGTCTCTAAAGGCAGCTGTCTTTTCCCATCCTGTGTTACGGTGGGCACCTCGCTATAACTCTGCCAGTATTGGAAGCATCAGCTCTCACGTGTCCCCCTCCCTTCCTTTGCCTAAGATCCTCTTCCACTATAATAAATCAGCCTCCTCAGTGACACTGCTGCTGTTTACTTTTACCTGTCTGGTTAATCCTGATAGTATTATAATAGATCTGAGCAGACCTTAGAAGGGGAGAGAAAAACCACTGGGGTACCAAAGAAAATTAGAATGAGTTGCTCAGCTTGGCAGAAAAAGAGAAAGGGGATTTAGAAGCAGAGCTGGGTTCAAAAGTCACCTACCTGGGTGCTGGGTGACCTTGGGCAGCTGCTCTCCCTGCCTGAGCTTCTGTTTTCCGTCAGAGTGGGTGTGGCGCAACCGTCTGGTCCAAAGGCTGCAGGGCCTGCTTTATTGGTGTCTCTGTTACTCCTCACAGCTCTTTACCTCAGACTTTTAGGCTGATTTTTATGCTTTAGTGACTCTAGAATTGCTATCCATAAATAGTCTAATATTTGGGGCTTGAATTTTACAAGAAAAGACATGTCTTTTCTAACTTCCTTGCTGTGGATATTGTCTGGGAGGTGGACTCATCTTAATAACGTGAATGAATAGGGTGAAATAATGTTATATACATTGTACCCAGTGTGAGAATGAATTGTTCCCAATTGTTCTCATGTTTATATTTTTTCTTTTCAGGGATCAGCATCTTCTGGACCCAACTCTGGAATATGTGAAGGTAGGAAACCAAGATTTAACATGTGGTAGGGACCCTGTGGTAACAGGCTTCCCATTTCTAACACAATGCTGTCTTCTGGTTTGGGTAGGAAGCTGGTTAGATTGAAACCACCGGGACATAATTTGACTCTCTTGGGCCTTTAGTAATCTTTGCAGAGCTCTTATGTCACCCTGTTATATATTTATAAACGTTCCCCCTTGTCTGAAGCCCTGGGAACCAGATGTGTTTTAAAAATTCGGAATTTTTTAGAAAGGTAATATGGTACCTATATCTAGCCTCTAAAGGGGGCTAGAGTCACCATCCCATGCTGAAACTCATTACTATAGCAGTTTAATGTAAGAATATTCACACAAAGTGAGATGAATAGACTACAGATGATTTCGTGTAAATCACATTTTGTTTTTGTCACCAAATGAGCTAGGGTTTGTTGTGCTGCCTAATGAGTTATTTAAAATTTTTCAGTTTTCAGAGTTTTTGGGTTTTGGAATGGTAGGTGAGGAGTTGTGAACTTTTGTCTGTCTTCAGTGGAGGACTGAAGGGTCCCTATGAGACTTGTTTTACTCGTTTTTTTGGGCTGTGTTGGGTCTCCATTGCTGCGCTTGGGCTTGTCTCTAACTGCAGTGAGCCGGGCTACTCTCTAGTTGCGATGTGCAGGCTTCTCACTGTGGTGGCTTCTCTTGTTGTGAAGCACCGGCCCTGGGGCACCGGGTTCAGTAGCTGCTGAACGGGCTCCAGGCACAGGCTCAACAGTTGCTCTGCGGCACGTGGGATCTTCCCAGATCAGGGATGGAACCTGTGTCTCCTGCGTTGGCAGGTGGATTCTTTAGCACTGCGCCACCAAGGAGCCTTTCTGAGTCATCCGCTCCGTCTCAGGAGCCACCCTCTTGTTCAGTGGCTAGTCTGTACCTATGAGCAGTGTAATTCTTTTACTTTCCAGTGGGCCTGACGTTCGATGTATCTGAATACTCAATACTTCTAAACAAGTTTTAAAATGCCTTTCACTTCCTGCTTCTGCCACACACACCCAGTTTTCAGGTGTGTATGTTTGTTTGGTTTTATTTTATTTTTGAGAACTGTAATTATGTCCAGCACCTACTACAGAAAAGAGAACTCTCATCTGTCATGACAAAGTGTGTCATTCATTTTTAGGAGAAATCATGGCACAAGTTAGGACTTAAAGTGCTTGCTCCCTAGGAGCCATACTTCGTCTTTATTTTTCAAAGGTCAGCCTCCCAGTTTCAGAGCATTTAAGCCTATTCTTGCTTTTTTGTGTGCCTGTGACTGGGCCTGCCCCTGGGTTTTGGCATTTCTTCCTTTTAGACCAGAGGATGGAGGGTCTTAAGCTTCTACTGGAGGAGAAGACTCTAGTAAACCATGTGGTCACTTGAGGCAGTCATAATGGAGTTTGTCGGAATGGATCATGTTTCCTGTCTCTTCTACCGTGGCTATGCCTGAGCTTCAGCTTAACTGCAGCAAATATGTAATCCTAAACCAACAGAGCCCCCGAGTCAGAATCTGGTCAGAACTTTGTAAGCGGTGTGTCTGTATCCCTCCTGGGCACATCACGTATGCTTTTGTGCAGGATGTGCACTGCAAGGAATTAGGGGACACTGTCATGCTCTGTGATCTAACTTGACTGTAGCATAAAAAAGTGTGTCCTAGAATTCTTCAGTGTGTTAATCACAGCAGCCCTTTAGAACTCAGTCTGTTCCATGTCCCAGAAACTGGCTCTCTCTTGCTGCCGGCTCATTCAGGCTGTGCTCACTTCCCTCCTCACTATTCCACAGCTCAGTTTTTCCCTTTTACTAAAGTCCCAGCCTTTAAGATAATCCAATGATGAATTCTAAACCTAAGCAGAGACTTTGGGAAGGACTCACTTTAGTATTAATATTTTCTAAGCTATTGCATCTCATTCATGAATTGGTCATTGCAAGTTGTCGTGTTGACTCAGAAGAGGTATTGGCTACCGTATATAAAATAGAGAGCCAGTGGAAATTTGCTATGTGACTCAGGGAACTCAAACCGGGACTCTGTGACAACCTAGAGGGGTGGGAGGGAGGCTCAAGAGGAAGGAAACATGTATATCTGTGGCTGATTCATGTCGATATATGGCAGAAACCAACACAATATTATAAAGCAATTATCCTTCAATTAAAAATAAATTTTAAAAAGAGCAGTGAACATCAACTCAATCAGAGGTATAGACTTCACGAGACAAATAAAAGATACTGTTAAAAATTGGGACTAAAAGAAGAGGTGTTGGGGTTGTTGGTGCTTCTGTCTGCTGGGCTCCCCCACTTTCCCTGGCAGTGATAGAACTGCACCTGATGGTGGCTCAAGGAGTCCGCTTTTCTAGGACTCACTGAGGTCTTCTGAAGCTTGCTTTTTGCTCTCAACCTTGTCTGAATCTGGTCAGAGCTCTAGAGATGACATTTCTGTATCCCTCATCCCATTTTTTTTTTTCTTTCTCATTTTGCCCTTGGTTTGGAGATATGGCTTGGGGACTTACTGAGCAAATGAAAGGTATTTTCATTTGTCTCCATGGGCATTAAAGCTCTGAAAACACTTTCATAGAGGCCTTGGGCCTCAAGGTCTGAATGGACCCATGAGTCAGTTGTCTTGGGCCAGTGCAGTCTCCTAGCATTTCTCAAACTTAGCCACCCTCTCAAGTGCTTCTGACCAGTCCATGCCTCAAAGGCCTCGTAAATTGGTGCCAGCTGGTGCCTAGAGCCTGAAGGGTGGCTGAAGATGATTGAGGGAGATGAGAGGTGTAGATAAGGTGAATGCGGTTTGGCCCCCTGACTTGGAGCTCTTTCTTCCCTATCATCCCTCTGTCTCAGGCGTGGAGAAAAGTAGAGATTCTGTGTAAAGTAAGTTGCATCACGTAGGGCCCTTTCTGAGAGTCAGAGTTTTAGAAGTTCATTGTGACCTCAGAATGGGGGAGGGCAGCGAGCAGATCTCTGACTGAGTCCATCTCGGCAGTAGCAGCAGTGGCCGGCCGACAGCCGTTCTCATCCTGCTGGGAGTCACAGTCCCAGGTCTCCCTTAATGTGGGAGACTTTCTAACCATCTTCACTTGGTTTTCCAGTACCCAGATGAAGAGAGAAAGGTCTGGGACCACCCTTCCTCCTCATGCCTAGAGGAGAGGAGACACTGAGGCTGACCCCATAACTCACAGGGTGATGGGGCTGCCGTGTTGTGGCAGGAGAGAACTGGGTGGAGAAGGAATCCGCTGTTCAGTCCTGTCCACTTTGTATTCTGTATCCTCCCAAGACTTCTCATAGCTGGCGCTGCTGCACATCAGTACGGAGGCATGACAGGGGGCCTGGGGGGGCGGTTGCCAGGCTACGAGGAGCACCTCTGTGAGAAGACTGGAGAGAAAAGTGCTTGGCAGGGAAGCTCTAGAACTGTTTGGTAGCTCTTTCATTTCTTCAGCAGGCTGACCTTCTGCTGGGGCCTCCCAAGGACACCTTGTTACCCTACGTGGTGAATTCCCTAGGGATGTGATAAGAAAATTTGAGTAGATCCAAAGAACCCCCAGGAATTTTGGAATCTTTATTCTCCTCTGTTTCTGTCTCTTTACTTTTCTGACCGCCAGAGAGGGGAGCTTTTTCTTTTTCTACCTTTTCCTTGTGTCCCCATCCCCCTCCTCTCTCCACATCCCCCCAAGCCAGGAGCCTAAAACATGGTGATCATCTTTGAGGTCTGATTTTAACTGTTAAGTATAGTCATGAGATACTTTTCTGTAATCACATATAATTGATTCTCTTTCACTGTATCTGAACAACACCCTTCTTGTAGACTGGAAAACAGAAACCTCCATGTAGCTGCACCTTCCTCCTGCTCTTAAGGTAGTGACTTTGGTTAGTGGTGTAAGCTCTGGAATTTTCCTATGCGTACCTAGCATTCCTTACCCTAGATAAAACTAATTTTTTTTTTTTTTTAACAGAGGAAATTGCTTTTAGAGGAAATAGCCCTAGGCAAAATTGTGTAGTAGAGTTTCTCTTCTGGGTTGCTTTACCTGCTTGAAAGTGAAAAAGTGAAAGTGTTAGTTGCTCAGTCGTGTGCAACTCTTTGCGACCCTAAGGATTGCAGCCTGCCAGGCTCCTCTGTCCATGGAATTCTCCAGGAAAGAATACTGGGAGTGGGCAGCCATTCCCTTCTCCAGGGGATCTTCCTGACCCAGAGATCGAACCCGGGTCTCCTGCGTTGCAGGCAGATTCTTTACCATCTGAGCCACCAGGGAAGCCCTGCTTACTGCTCCCGTTTATTTTTTGCCATATTTCTACTGCCTTCAGTATTTACTGTGTCTAGTTTCTTAGACCTGTGTCAGGTAACTGTTTAGAATATTTGATAAAAATAATTGTACTAAAATATGATACATGGTAATAGCTCAGTGTGCTATCCTTCCCAGATAGCATTCCAATAGGAGACTCCAAGTTACATAGCCCCTAAGATCTCCAGGGAGGGAAGCCTGTCTCACATTCTTGTCTAATTAGCAGTGTGACCTTGGACTTACCCCCTTCACCCTATGGCTTCTGAGGCAGGAGATAGATGGGCCTAGGCTTAAGCTACTGGAGTTTGTCCCCTGTTGGGGCACTCGAGGGAAGAGAAACTGAGCCCTGCCCAGATAAGATAGTACAGAGACCACGTATCCCTCATTTTTAAAATAAAGGAGACCTTCCCAACTATACATGTGCAGAAAGACTCCTTGGAGGTCAAAAAAGAAAGGGGCATCATGCCATAGTAGGTGATGTCAACCTATCCATAAGGCCTCTTCTCTGGAATCCATTTTGGCTAAGAGACGTGGACACACAGGAGAAGACCCCAAGATAAACCAAATACGGACTCAGAATCAGGCAAAGCTAGATGACTGGCCAAAGGAAACCTGGCAGAAATGCCCCCTATAAGTGATTCAAATCACCCTGAGGGTGCAGCTCTATCTGAGTCTAGCCATGTGAGTCTATTCACACATATCTTTTCCTACTAATAAACATTTT